GTTAGTAGTAAGATGTATGTTTTTTATTCCAAAGTGATTGCTTATCAACTTGTGAACCAATTTTATTAAACAACTGACTGAAGTTATTGAGGACCTAATAGGAATTGGACCATTTTAATTTTTTCATAGTAGTCTATACCGTTTATTTGAGTATATTTTTTTTTATTATCTAGACAGCAACAGCTACCGGCACCCCTGGTGATGCCCATGACTATATAATAGCTTAACAACAATACTTTAAGAAACTGTTTGCAACAAAGAATGGAGAATAATAATATCATACAGTTCCTCATAAAATGTGTAATCATCCTACCTATTTCAATAACTTGGAATCAAGATAGACTTAAAGTAAAAGATTATTGTAAAACATAGTTGTACAATTTCATATAAATCCTGTATAAAATAACATTCCAGTTTTTTTTATAAAAATATTTGTTGTAATCTAAATAAGCAGCAAAATGTAAACAATGGGTAAACTTTCTAAAAATCAAACTAACTTATCTATGCATGTTACACAATAGTAACCTACTTCTGTAGTGCAAAGGAAATGAGTTGCTTCAAAGTCATGACTCACGCTCGTTTAGGATGTTATTGTGAACTGTCTGGCACTAACCTCCTTCACATCCTGCAGTGTTACATCCCAACCCACTGTCAGTGGCATATACACGGAGTTGGGCATCAGGCATATCAGGTCGACCTTCTCGGACGTCGAGGACGTCCAGTAATCCCAAGTATTTGGGCAGCTCGGTGCGGGCACCATTATTTTGATTGATCTCTTACTTGATCACACAAATTACCCCCACAACATTTTTACACCTTTCACTGAAAACTCGCTAGTTCGCGACCATGTCGCTGTTGATCACTGAAAATATTATGCACTAAGTTACTTAACAATATCGAACCACAGTGTTGAATCATAGCATTTCCTGGTATTTTGATTGGGGGGCAAATCGCCATTCGAAAAGAAACTGTCAATGAAATTACACAAACAACATTGATATATAAATATAACACAATTTATAAAACCAAATACCTTTACAAACACTTTACATAATTAATGTTGCAACAACAAATTACAAATCATAGAAGTACTTTTCTGAGAAATTGTAAATAAATGATAAAGATTACGTGCAACAATCTTCCGTAAGTACTCGTACTGAAAAAATAAAACATTTGGCTATGGTAAAATATTTTTTATTTGTTATGATGTCAACATTCCCCTTTCAACTTTTCTTGATTTATTGAACTAATTTACCAAACACATGAACTTTGTACGGTAATCAGATAATCATTACGGTTTTCATTTATTAAAGATAACTTAGCTTAGCAGAGCATTGGGAATATTATTATCTTACGCTTTATAAATACGTTATGAATGTGAGTGTGAATTTCCAAGTCCTATTACACCTATTTAAGCTGGTCAGCGAAAGATAGGGTTCAAGAGTCGAAACGAAGCTCAGTTGAGTTATGAATTGGTAGGTAAATATAGCTTATCCACCCTATTATTTACAAGAAAATAATAAAGGTGCGAAAATTAAATACCCTACTTACTCTATGACACTTCTCTATAGGCTTCTATCTTTATGGAACAATTCCTAACCTAAAATCACTTTAAACTTCAACATAATCCATAAAATAAAAACTTGCCAGAATAGATGTTTTGAGTTAAGTGATCTCGTGATACAAACTCTATCAAGGTTAGTTGAAATGGTACAGTTTTCGTCACATTTTTACTAATAGTAAAATGTTCGAGCATTCCATTAAAGTACCAAGGCACTATAAAATTGCTGCTAATATATTAAAAAAAGTTTCCACTGAGGGCGGCAGCGTTAAAACCTTGCTGTACGATAATAAACTTCGTCATTTCGTGAGTATATCCTTATATTTTTACAGATACTTACAAAGTACTTCTAGAAATTAATGTCCCTTTCAATGTATTTGCAGAGAACAAACGTGCTATTTGCACTTATAACCGAAACTATAAAACATGCCGCACATATTGACAAAATCTTTGATAGTTGTAGTCTTCTTAAAAATGAATCACGTTTAGATCCTTGGCTAGCAAAAATATTAACAGCAGAATTGCTATTTGGTAAAAAATCATTACCTGGGAAAAGTAAACCAGAACAAACAATATTATCATACAAAGAACAATTCGAAAAATATACAGATGACCATGAAGATGATTTGAAGTCTAAAGGTAATTATTTTTATTTATTTTTCAGATCAATAACAACTGAAAATACAAAGAAATGGCTGATAATACTGAGGGTCCGCTGATACCAGCACATACTAAACGAGTGACTTTAGTACTTGCGAATTTGTTTTTATACAGTGTAGCGATGTTTACACTTCCTTTTATTGCATTTTTTGGTATACAACACATACTCACTGATTTGTATCCTTTAGATACATTTCCAAGAACAGTGTGGTCAGTTTTTAGTGCAGTGATGGTAGTAAATATAATTATTTTCATATTTGCTTATAAAGCTTATTATGAAAAGGAATATGATGAACATGGAAATGAAATTGACCAGCATTCATACACAACTAATAAACTACCAACTGCAACAGAAACGGACAAAGCTACATTAAATTTGAAAAAAGATTGATTGTCTTGTACCAAAGTATTTCATTCCAAGTAACTACAATATTGTTTTAAGTATTGTATTATGAATTATTTAGCCCAATGTAATTTATTCTAGTAGAAATAAAAGATATTTTAAACAAAATTAAATTTGTTTGAGTTACAAAATTGTCAAATTGCCTATTCTCAATTACTCTAAGCATAAATTTTTTAAAGTTAAATAAAGGATTTTTTGTGAACTGATTTCTAATGGTTGACCATCTGGTTTGCACTGTAAAAGATCAGTTTTCGCCACATCCAGCTAATAAATATTTCCTCATAAATTATATCACATGCTATGAAGAAAAATGATAAAAATGTAAATTTTGACAACCCTTATTAAGGTAGAAATGGGATGGGAAAACTACTAACAATGATTTATAAATAGTTTACCAATACGACAAGTAGAAATATTTTATTTCAGAATATTATATATTTATTATATCAAAATTGTATAACCTACTAATTCTAAAAATGCTTAAAAATTACATGATAGTTGTTCGCAGACCCAGATATGTCCGCGTTAACACGAATCTGTTAACCACATCTGATGCAATACGAGCCTTCCAGGATGAAGAGTATCGCTTCATCAGATGCACTTCCGGCTCCTACGACGACTATCTCAAACAAATACAAAATCTCACCGAGTATGATTTTACACAGGATTACCATGTGAAAACGGTATTTGTTTTTGCTCCTGGTACCAAATTTCATGAACATGAATTGTATTTGGAGAATAAGCTTATATTGCAAGATAAGGTATGTGAAAGAAACTCCAAGATAATCTGTATTTTTGAAGGGTTTTTTTTTTAATGTCTGTTTATTTAGGCAACAGCTCTGGCAGTTCATCTTTTGGCTGCACCTTCTGGTAGCGTTGCATTGGACATGTGCGCTGCACCCGGTATGAAGACAACGCAATTGGCTGCTTTTATGAGAAATGAGGTAATACTTCCAATTTTTCTCATACTCAGTCGATAAGTGGTCTTCCTTAATCGTCTTTTTGTATTAGATGTCCTTAATAAGGAAGTAAGGATTTTGTGATTACAATGTTTTAAACCCTTTACTTCTTTATTAACTGTCTTACTTTTCAGGGGAAAATTTACGCGGTGGAAAGAAACGAGCAACGTTATAAGACGTTATGTGAGTTTGTTGAGAAAACTGGATCAAAATGTGTAGAAACATTACACAAAGATTCCTTAGAAATTAAACGAGGAGACTACGATGACGTAGAATATATTTTATTAGACCCTAGTTGTTCTGGTTCAGGTATTTATTTAGTTATTGTTGATATTCAATCGTGGATTTTAAACAAATAATAATAAAGTCTTAATTTGATATTCAGGTATGGAATTTTGCGTACACAACTACATCGAAGAAACGAGATTAGCTAAACTTACATCATTGCAGGAAAAGTTTTTAAAACATGCAATGAATTCGTTTCCTAAAGCAAAGAGGATAGTTTACAGCACATGTTCTTTGTATCCAGAAGAGAATGAAAGAGTTATAACGAATGTTGTGAAAACATCAAGAGCTAAATGGAGAGTTCAAGATGTAAAGGAATTGTTGAAAGGTGAATGGAATAACTTCGGTTCAGGAATGTATGGTAGTATCGGTACAAGATGTTTGTACGCAAAACCTGATACAGATTTGACGACTGGATTCTTTTTAGCTGTATTGGATAGGGATCAGAAAGATTTAGAAAAGAAAGAAAATCACGAAAACAATCCAATCAATGAAGGAAGAAAAGGAAAGAAGAATAAAACAGACCAAAATAATGACATTAATCCTAGTAGTGCAGAATTTGATGAAACAGGACATATGGAACATAGTAGTATTGCTCAGAACGAAAATGATGCAGCTCTTAGTACAAATACAAATAAAAAGAAAAATAAATCTAAAAAAGATAAAAAAGATGATTGTACAGATATTGTAAATGATGAAATTAATACAATAAGCGATATTAATGAGGATGCTAAGAGTAAATCCAAAAAGGAATCTAAGAAAAACATTAAACTCGACGAACACGAGTTTGAAGAGAAAGATAACTTGATTATTGATACTAAAGAATCAAGCGATGAAAAAACTAAAAAGAAAAAGAAGAAAAGAGATAAAACAAAAGAAATAAATAATACAGAAAAGGAGGACGCTATAGAACCTACTGTAGATGATGATGAAGGAAAAGTACAAAAGAAGAAAAGGAAACGTAACTCTGAACAGATTATAGATGAATCAAATACTGATTGTTTATCAGATAATTCAAAGAGTAAAAAAGAAAAATATTTACCAGTCGAGAATACTAATGCAACTGAAACAGAAGAGCCGAAAAAGAAAAAAAAGAAGAGTAAACATTAGTCTATTAAATCATGAAGTTTGTATTTTTTACAATAAATTTAAAATTTTTAATTATCGTTTTATTCACATTTAGTTGCACATTTTTAGCGTCTAAATAATCATTTCTGACTTTAAATGGAGAGTGAATATTCTCGATTGGAACTTGTGTTATTTATTTTAATTCCTTCTCTATTTAGGTTAGTATAATTGTAAAATTATAATTATTCTAATCATACTGGGCTTAAGCAAAGTCAATAAATCCGTAGCATAAGTAGGGCAATCATAAACGATGCTTACAACTTTCCCATAAATGAAGTACTTTATTTTTCCTTCCATCGGTTTTTTGATTATGAGTCGTATTACGTTTACATATTATTCAATTTTGATTGATGAAGGTTAAGCTGCACACACGCTAGTTCGTCACGAACTTTGTCGTGCGTCCCTATTTCCAACGCCCACATACAAAAGTAATACATATTCATATGAATAACTAATTGAATAATTGTTTCTTTGTTACTTTTTTTAATGGCGGGTGTTAAATGTTGATATGTAGGTTGCGACGTTTTTTCATCTGTAATTTACAGTGTGGTTGTAATTTAACGTTATTGTCCTCAATACATATAAACTATACGCACTGAAGTATTTATTTACATAAATAAATGTTAACTACCTGGGTGTAACCAGGGAGCTGCAGCAAATTTTTGTACTAAGGACCTGTCCCCTGGCTGATAGGGGCTCAGATAGCTTAAAATGACGTCCCTATCAAATAAGGTAATAAAATCCGATATTTCCATCACAGATTTTACACGTTCGATTGTTTTCAGACAATTTACAATTTGGTGGAACAGTCCCTAATAGAATTAAATAAACGGTAAGGATAACCTCACCTTTTAAAAATTCGAATGAAATATTGACATGAGACAATAACTGTACAATATGGAGTTAACATAGCATTGCACTAATTATCGTCAGTTAATTTCAAATAAAAATATTCGATTATCAAAAAATTTATAGGTCAGTGCGTGTTTAAAGTTGGTTACTTTTCTTTTGTCCTTGAGCTAATAAGGTGTTACGGCTCTTACGATCATTTTTTACGTGAACGTATTGTAACGTTATGCTTGGTTCACACTTGGCCAGTAGCGCTTTATATCTGGACTAGCTTTCATCTAGTATAATGTGAACACTAACTGGCGCCAACGAGACCTACTGTAAAGGCCAAATGTGAACCAGGTTTATGAGCGATGCTGGTGATGAATCCTATGACCGTCAACATTCGTCAATCGTTGAGAAATAGATATTGGCATCTCTTTTGTCTATTTTGAATAAAACAAAGACAACAGTATGATTTTGTACAAATGTTTCGACTGTGGGAACGTCCATGTATAAGTTATCGAAATGACTAAGAAATGCCTCGATATTTAGTATTAGCGTATTATTATCGTAATTGCAATTTTGCGTCAGTTCTTGGAAAAGCCATTTAGCGTTTGATTGCTTTAGGTAATATTCGTGAGGTTGTTACTGTAATTCTGAGTATTTATGACTACATAAATTTCTCTATAAAGTGACTTATTAAGAAGAAATTTTAATGGAACAAAGCCATACGAGACGTTATTGGAGGAAATAGATCCATCTATTATAATCATTATTAAATAAATTTGTTATTCTGAAACAATAAACTTATGTACGTTGTGTGCTGTAACAATATAAACGAGTTAGTTGCTTAGCAACGAGAGTTTTCTCCTATAGGCGTGCCTCGAGGGCGGGTCCATTATCTTTTACCCTCACAAACAACCAATGAGCGACAGGAAACGCAATATTATGACAAACGTATCATTCAAGGCATGTCATGTTGCTGAAAAAGTTTAATTACTGCATCATGATTTTGAAATCTACGCTATGGGAATAGAGTCTTAATTTGCTTGAATTTAATTGTTGATGAGTTCCCGTTATTGGCTGTCGTAAATCAATAAAGTACAAATTGTCCTATTGTAGTGTTGTGCTTGGAAAAACTAAAATAACTTTATTTACACGCCCCAAGCGTTATATACCTAATATGTATCTTTTTAATCTAGCTTTTGCTCGTGACTTCACCCGCGAGCAGTTTAAAATAAACAGGAAATATAGCCTATGTTACACAGAGATAGTGTAGCTTTCTAATGCCAAAAAAATTGTAATCGCCTCTGTAGTTTTTGAGTTTAATCTTTACTTACAAAGCACATTATTTTCCTCTTTAAAATATTATTATTACTTACGTGATAATAATAGTGAAGTTTATATTCTTACCAATTTGTCGTTGCAAAATAATTCAACGTAGATTATAAAAATCATAAACAAGCTTCAAACTCGATAACATTTACTTATAACAGTTTTCAGTAATAAAGGTATAATTACAATCTTTCTCAACAATCGTTACTTGTTAGTAAATATAACCTCAAACACGCACAACTCTCATTTATCTTAAAACGCGCAGATTCATGACGTCACTAATGATTGAAAGCGTGCAGACTTACTACCTTTATGTAATTTTAGTAAACTAGGTCTTATATAAATATTAACTAAAAGACCTGAAACGTTCCCATAAAACTTTATATTGTAAAATAGGTTATTTACCTCCTTTCCTACTCTCGTAGTGTCGCAACAGGTTTTTGTCCTCCACATAACTCTATCATATGTTATCTCAGTCATCAGTCCATTTTTAATAATGTCACCTTTCACGCAATCCATCCATCTCTTTCTAGGTCTACCTCTACAGGTGTACCCTTCCTCGAATTGTAAAATATTATTGTAAAATAGGTGACTATTATAATTATACACTTTTGAAATTATACTAAATAATAAGTAATTTAAATAACGGATAGAACTTTATCAGTAGTTAAATTTCGCTATCAAGTAAATAGCTACGCGCTACGCACGTGCTACGGCGAAGTAGCAGTCGCGTAGCTTACCGAGCTACAACTCTTTAAACTTAAAAAAATAACTATTATAATTTGTTATTTAATATATCTTATTTCTGTAACAGTAAGGCGCTATTGAGACTGCCTACGTATTAATAAGGGGTTTTACAGAGGAAGACATTTTTCATCCCTTCTCTTTGTCCTCACCGCTGTAGCTCTACGAGGCGATTGGTTTAGAAAAATACGTTATTTACAGTATTCCAATTATTACGCTACATTTTCATGTTTTTGTTTAAAGATACCGTACAAATAAAGCCTCAAAGGATCTATACATCGTAGCTTCGTAATTAGTCACCTAATTATAAGAAAAAGCCTTTTTTTCATATTATAATCAATGTTAACAGCAATTAACAGAGTTTAACTAGCCTCACCTAAAAACTATAAGCGAATTATATAAACACGCCAGCATACGCCTTCGTTGACCCGAACACGCTTAGTGTATGTCAACTTAGCAATACCACTTCAATTTATCAAATAATGTGCGTTTTAAAATTTTGAATCTTTGCCATTACTGAGATTTGCATTTCGTAAATGACAATGTTACGCGAAAAAGTATACAAACATGTGCATAATTATAAAGTATTTATGTGAATTTAATAATATTAGTACTACCTGGTTTAATGTAGATATGAAATACAATAAAACAAACTAAAATGTTGCAATAGTAATAGATGCAGTAATTTTGTATACTTTTTTCTTTCTTACGAAAACATTCCAAATTAGATAACCTTATATAACTCAATAATATTTTTCTAGTAATAAAACTGATAGTAATCTATATGTAGTTTTTACCCTACTGATATTTGTAATTAAAACAGCATGTCGGTCACGCCGGTGTGACGTACGCGGGTGCGGTGCCCGACTCACCCCACGCGGCCGTTCCGAACCTTCACTCGATTCCCTTCTCAAAACATAACCGGACGACTACTTGCATACTTCTAACTTATACTAAGTAATTACTAATTAACTTTACACACTTAAATCATCTTGTCTTGTGTTGAAACTTATTTTTAAGTTTATCGTATTAATGCATTTCGCGCCAAATATAATTTTGTTTTTCGGGATTATGTGATTTTTAACATTGTAATTAAGTGAATCGATTTAAGTGAAAATGGCTAGTGAAGAATCAGCGCCTGCAACTGCGGTAAGTTATGATAAAATAGATTAGACATAGTAATTAACTAATTAGTTATTAAGGTAGTTGTGTATCTGCTGAAATTAAATAAAGCTACTAGAAAGTCTAGATGTAACTAGAAAAAAGACTTTTTATCTTTTCCTAAGATATTAGGATTAGTAGTTTTGTTTGCTTTGGTTTAAATCTTTTTTGGACTTAAACGTTTATGTATATATGTTTTGTATTAGTAACGTGTTTTACGTTGTAAATTATTCTGAATCATATCTTTTCGGAAATATTGTAATAAAATAACTTTCTTCGAAACAATGATTCACTTTTGATAAATCGAGGTTTTCTTTAATTTTCTTTCAAATAATTATAATAAAGGCTAAAGTTTTTTTTCGTGACCTCTGTCACTTAGTCACGCGCCCACACCAAACTCGTTAACTCTTGCGATGATCTGGAGATAACAAAAGTTATGTTACTTTCATACTTCAATAAATTATTATTTTCTATACCCGCACATATAATTATAGTAATAAATGTAATATAATAATAAATGTATATGTAATCATGTACATTTCATTTTTAATAATGATTAAAAAATAAAATGTAACTAGTAGGTTATTTTCTGATTGTACATCTTTTAAAATATGCTCTAACATTTAGTAATCATTTAAAGATAAGGTCTTTTTATCTTAGTAAGGCTGCGTATTAAAGATTTCATGAATGAAATATGTCGTATCAAAGGCTACGATTATTGCTTGAGAGGGTTGGGGTGGCGGGGTGCGGGCGCGGCGGGCAGTCGCCGGCCGGGCCGTAGCGAGTCATGTCGCGTCGACAGCCCGCCAAACCGCGCCTACATTCGCGAAACCGTCCACAGGCACCAGAACCTATTTCCGCACCGGAACCTACTCCAGCACCGGAACCCGAGCAACAAGCGCACTCTGATGACGAGAAGGAATCCGAATGGAGACCGTCTCGACCTCCATCACCCCCGCAAA